AATTGTGAATTCATAAAAAACCGTCAAGAGAAGCTTCTCTTTGCGATCAATTATTTGCTAAACTGAATGAATGGTCAGGTTCTTAGTGATCTTTTGGTTTGTTATGTGGAAACTGGTTTTCTAGAAAAAAGTTATAGATGAAGTAGTTGTTAGATCATTTCAAAAGATGAAAACTCAAAGGGAACAGTTATATGATAAAATTTTGCCATTTTGTAATGACATTATACTATTTAGATACTTTAGTTCTCCATTATTAAATATGTATTGCCCCATTATAATTGTCCTGGATTTGCTTCTGTGAACAAGAAAATATCCAAAGGTTACAATTTAACTCAATTATGTATGTTTTTCACAAATATTTATTAGGTTTCATCATTATACTAGTACAACACCCGTGTAGTACACGGGTGCTTGCTAATTTTTTTCTTAAAATCTAAGATTAATGAGAAAAAGTAGTTTGAAAATTTAAATACCTTTTATAAGAATATATATATATATATTATTATATATTTATTATGACACTTTTTATTTGTGCAACTTACTTGTGTTATATTATACTAATTTTTTTAACTTACAATATATAACTACATTACATATAAATATATCAATGAGAAATAATTTCATTTTTCTAATGAATTTTAATAAATATTATTTTTTTTATTATTATAAAGATAAATATAATTTATTTATTTCATATATACAATATGGATGTCAAATCGAAGATCATCAAAAGATGATTAATTTGATATATTATATATGTAAAAACGATAAGAAATACAAAAGTTATCAACTTTTAAAATACATTTATAATTCAATAGCTTATTGAAGGAAACGAATCAAAATTCAGGGACATATTAGTTACTTAGTGACTCACTATGTAAAATTACAAAGAATTAAAGGGTTATATTTGTAAAAGTGATATTAAAATACCTAAGTTAGCTATATAATATTTATGGAATACCCGAACCTAGATTATTAATTATTAATATATCAATATTATTTATCCAAACCTAATTACGAAGCATGATTCTTCGCCAAATAGGATTCCGAAGCACCAAAAGCAGCCACGTAGGCTCAGCGCATTCGGGAATTATATATAGGGAGGATATTCTATACAATATAGCGTCTTAATTAGTTCTTATTAGATCTTTAAATGGAGTGAATAGTTATCACTAAGAACATATCAGAAAGAAAACCAGCATTTGGACTGTAAGCAATCGACATTTGTCTTCCATGTGCTGCTTTATTATCTTTCGTCAATTTTCGCTAC